ACCAGGTACGAATTAGTCTTCCGGATTTTGACATCATCCCTGCACCACTCATTGATTTTCAAACCAAAATCTTACCTGATGAGCACCTCGCCAAGATGACCCGCTAATGCTCCATCCACATACTCTTCTGTGTTGGCCAGCTAGATATATCAGAGAGACAGAGCTTAATTAACCCATAAAGAGAAAGACTACTAACAATTAGAGAAGCACCAATGTATCGGCTGATTTAAAACCATCGGCTATAGCATGAAAAAGGGAGATGTATAGATTAACTAACTGCGTTAAGGCACTGAGTTGTATAATCCAACATTTTTCTCAGGGCAAAATAATTAAATACTTCGCTCAACAATATGGACTGCCCGGTGCCAGTGCAAACTATCCTCAGAACAATTGATCTTCGCGGAATTTTATCCTTTGCACACGTTTAAGTCTTGCCAATTTAAATATTCAAGCGCAAGAAGACACGAAAGAAATGTGTGGGAAGTTGTGTATGAATGTTCACGTGCACCCAGAAAGCAGTGTTTTAGACAGCGTGCAAATACTGACTTGAGTTCCCTTTCACTTTTAATTCATATCAAAATGCCTGTCTTGTATCTGTCCTGTCTGTCTTGTAAACACAGTTGATTATGGCTCAAGTGAATGTAAACAGATGAGAAATAACACACGTGTGTATCCGTATATTGGATCCATGCAGCCAAATATTTTGTTTTAATGTTAATGAAACAAAAGACAAAAAGAAAATGCTCACTATTGACTAAATAACTTTAATAAGAGTTAATGTACATTTAATATATACAATGAAGAGTATATATTACATTTTATTACTTTTTTCTGTACCTGAAAACTACTTTTAGACCTAAAAGCAAATGTTTATTTCATATGCATCTTTGTTCTGTTTATGCATTTATGTAGGCCTGTTGAATGTTGAAATGAATCAAATCCATGTTCAATAGAAATTATTTGATGCAGCAATAAACTATACCTTAATGTATGAATTTTTGCTCAATTAAATCATGATCCAAACACTAATCTATTTTAATGACAAAAGTTCTAATAAGAGAGCATTTGACAAATACCGGTATCGGCCCCCCCCAAAAAAACCATCGGTGCATCCCTACTAACTGCTGAACCTCTGTCAACATAAGATCAGATGTGAGTGGGGATTTCAATTACACTGGATATTGTGCATGTGGGCCCACGGTGAAAAGTAGTGACAGCTAATGATATTGTATGATCCAAAGCATCAATGACCAATGCATTCATTAACGGTCTATTATATTGAGACTTACCTGCATGTTCATGTAGCCGTCCACCGACACCAGGTACCCCTTGTACTCCATCCCCCACTTCAGCTTCACCATCACAGGCTTTCCTGTGAGACCGTTCAGAAAGGGCTTGGGGTTCAAAGGCAAACTCTGCAGAAAAGGCCAAAGTTCAGTGTCAGATATAAAAATAAAATAAACATGTAATTTTGAACCTCCAAATTCCAGTGGGAAATCTTTCATAAAATTCCAACCTAAGCCAGGACGAACAGAGTATCATATGAGGGTAGGCAAGGCAAGTTTATTTATAAAGCACATTTCATACACAATGGTAATTCAAAGTGCTTTACATAGAAGAAATTAAAATAATCAAAACAAATAAAAATAATTAAAACAGTTTAGAATAAAAATAAAGTACAGTAAACATAGAATGCTTATGCTGGATATCACAAGAACAATTATGATTTTTAGTATGTATGTACATTCCTATAACTGTCCAATAGAAAGATATTATATTTTTAAAAATGCTAGTCGGGTTCTGGTGAAGACTAAAATATATATTAGAAATGTATTCTCAAGAGGATACGAAGGCACAATAAGAACTTCAGTTTAACTATTAGCCTATGCTTTTTAATATTGCAGTATTCTTGCTGGATTCACAAGAATTACTTGCGAATTATCATATGCTATCTATAGATACACGCTATCTACGGAGAGCAGATGACTAAGTTGTGACAGGGCAAGTGGAAATATTGACAATACGAGATAAATGTTCCAACATTGATAATGACTGAAAACAACGTCCAATCTGCGTTCCCGATGCTAACACGCAACCGCATTGTCCGCTCATTCCTGAATGAAAACCACCTTTCTTCTCGAAACAAAACTTCAAATATTGAGCCGAAAGAAAGAGATTCTCGTGTACTTACCATGACTGTACTGATAAAGTAGTTTTGCAGAAGAAAAAATTGTTTATTCAAATAGCATAGGCTAGTGAAGCACACTCGCACGCCTTGCCGCCGAGAGAGGGAAGGACTGCGAGCGAACTTTGACCGCACGGCGGGAGAGAAGAGCGCGTTCGCCCACAGCGCCACTCGCAGGACTGGCGTGCAATCGCGCCATGATGCAATCAATGTTTGAAATGATATAAAACTAGTGCAGCAGTGCCCGTGCAAAATCTGTTTTTCTAAAACTCTGGGGGGTTGTTGCAATTGTTGGTTTGGTGTGTTTGAGTGCTCATTGTTACAATTACACAGCAAAGGTTCAGTGACATTTGTATTTGTGCATGGTAGAAGGCAAATACTGATACTGACATAATGACATACAATAAATATGGAAAATTGAACTACATGGTTGCATAACAATTTATAATGGTGATATGGTGACAGTCAAGTCTATAATGGTGATATTAGGTGACATGTATTTGTGTATCTGTGTACAGGTAGCAGGAGTTTAGATTAGATTAGATTTACATTAGTGTCAACTTTGTTGTCATTGTGCAGATTACAATTATAGAGAAAATGAAAGACAGTTAGCGTCTTTGTAGCTGAATTAATGTTTAGCTGACAGAGTGTTTATGTCAGAATGTTTATTCTGAAACCACAACCTTCTAAACATCATCTAAACATCTTCAACGTGTGCTTCTTTTACCGATATATTTACCGATATCTTTTACATTTCTAATCCAAACAAGGTCAAACTCGGCACTGCACTTACTCGTGCCCGTAGCAAGACACCGGTCAAGTTTGAAATCCATCGGACAAACGGATCGAGAGATATGCGAATAACAGACACACACACACACACACACACACACACACACACACACACACACACACACACACACACACACACACACACACACACACACACACACACACACACGCACACAGACACAGACACAGACACACAGAGACAGACAGACGTTCCTGTAATTTATGGATGGATGGATATACATTACTATTTTGTATTAGGTTAATTTCTCAGTACTCAGAACAAGTTTTTAAAGCTCTTTTAAAAGACTGCCAGCACAGCAGCAGAAGTGTCTGTGAATCATTTTACCATCTGATTTGATTCACAATGCATTCATTAAGTTTTCAAGCAGAAATCTATATGCTAGATTTATGTTTAAAAAAACAACAGTAAATCTAAATCGCTCAGCAGTGTCCTTTATTTGTACAGCAATTCTGCATCACAAATAAATAAATAAATAAAAGTTGATTTATCTTCTGAAGACTTGTCCAGCTTCTTTCTTTTCTTTTTTTTTTTGGTTGCATTTCATTACCATTTATTGAAATGTCATGTAAACTTGGCTGACAGGGATGACATGACATGCCAAGAGATTCTTCAGTTGTATCGCCAGATAGGATTGATATATTATATGTGTTGGGTACTTTGTGAATGAATCAAAGATTAAAAGCTGCCTGAAAGCCAACAGTAGCGGATTAGAGCGGAAATCTTTTCCAGATCCGCATTCCAGACAAGGATTTTTTTTCAATATTTCAAAAAGTGACCTGTCTTTCATCCTGTATTATACCTTCCTGTTGACCAATCTTGAGGCTTTTCCGCCTTGATCAAATCAATATGCAATCTTTTCTTTTCCTGTCAGCTGATTTCACATGATTTAGATCTCAAAATATCCCTAATGCTTCGATTTCATGGAATTTTTAACACAATTTGGAACTAATCCGAATGAGATCAAACAAGAGTCGTCCAATAATTTTCAGAGAATCAAAAAAGAATCTTTGATAAACTGAAAAATAGAACAGTATGAAACGGTCTCATCATAGAATGTTGAATGAAAGTGTTTTTTTTTTAATAAAATGCTGAATTACATGTATATTCTTTATTAATTTACTTTTGCTATAAAAATACATTTGAATGATCATTTAAATGTGTACAACCTCAACACATATTTTCTACAGTGCTTTGCTGTGTTAAATGACAGCTTGCTATAGGCTACCTTCTTATTTCAAATATAAATCTGAACATTATATTTAACATCACCTAAATTTAATTACATTGATAACAGCACCTTACAGAAGAAGAACCAAGCATTCATCAAAGAGCCAACAATGGTCATAGTACACAATGCCAAGTTTATTAGACAACTAGATTAAGAATCCATCTAGAGAAGAGAATGCTGTTTATAGTGTGTGTGTGTGTGTGTGTGTGTGCAAGATAAAATTGTGTAATTGTGAGAATTGTGTAAATGTGAAAATAATTAATAATAAAAAAATACAAAACAAATTAATTGAGAAATTCATATGAAAAAAGGCACATGTGTGTTAGGGTTAAGGAGATAAAATGTAATGTAATAAGGAGAGACTTGTGTAATAAATGTATTATAGACAGAATTAGCCTTATTAATAAGGCAATGGAAAGTGTCTTTGAGAAAGCGAGTCCCGCAAGAGCTGCCAGGAATGCTCCATTAAATCGAGAAAAATGCTGGGAGAAGGGGCGTGGCCTCTGCTCTTCAAAGGTCCTGTCACTCACAGCAGGGGCTCCAGATTCCAGCTCAGGTGTTGCAGAGCTGGACGCGCGCAGAGCGAAACACACGCGCAACTCGCCTTTTACACGAGCAGCGCGAGCGGACAGCTGTCACCGGCGACAGATGTGACTCAGATAGACGCTCATTTTGAGGTTACACTCCAATGGCGCTGTCGCGCGAGACTTCTGTCCTTCTTCAGGTGAATAGTTTCTGTTTGTCATGGGGGCAGCAGCTCAGCTCAGCGTTTGCGCACCTGGCCAACCCACGCCAGTGAAGTCGTGCTCCTACATGCTATCTGAAAGGCTCTGGAGCGGAATCAGGTTCCCGTGGGTGGGTATTGTGGATTAAAACCCTCGCGGGGTTTAATACGTGTAATTTGTGGATTAATGACTGTTATGGAGCTGCCAGGGAGATGTATGCTATTCGCAGCGCTCGTGATGAGCGTTCCTCGTCCTGCGTGTTCAGGTCAGTGTTTTATGCATGTAAACTATTCACCCGCACGTGCGATCAAAACAAGTGCCAAGCAGAGACGATCATGGTGATGTCTGAGTGACGAACTAATTGATATGGAGAGATGGGGATGATTTGAATATGCAAAACAAACCAAAACTTTGCATGCGCATACACACCCAACACGATCTTGCTGAATCCAGCCAATTTGCATTCAGATTGATTCCGCAGTTAAAGCACTCTAAAATTGCGTTTAATTTGTCAGTGGGATATATTTTAATTTAAAGCATTGTTTATATGTTTAGGAATTATTCCGTTTGGAAATTATACAATGACTATTAAACGTCTGCTCAATTATTAAAGGCTATACCAATGCCCTTTCTATGTTTATATGTATATATAGGCCTATGTGTATACATGCACTGTAAATAATTATGATTAAGTTATGACAACATGTTTTTACACTGCTTTAACTCACCAAAATAAGTTAAGCAACTTTTTAAAATAAATTATACGAGAGATTCAACTTGGTTTTTTAAACTCAGTTTAATGTAATTTAAGTTTAAATGACTTAAACATCCAAGTTGATTCTACTTAAATTTAAGGCAGCAACTTTGTTGGTCCCCTTTTACCTCTCTTTTTTCTTTCGTTTATCTAGTGTACTTGTAATCTTTTGTTGTTAACTCGTGTTCAATAAAAATAATCAAATAAACCTATATAAGGTCATTCTCGGGCGCAGTCTGTCCATGTTAATCTCGTGCAGTGGAATTTGTAATTTTGTTCCATCTAAACACTGTATATCTAAAAACAAACATTGTTTGTGATATGTAAATCTATAATAAAGTCTTGTCGACACTCCGCCTCAGACTGAGTGAGTAGTGTGTTTTTGTTATGGTTACTTCCACAAGTGCGCAAACGTGACTTTCTGTTCAATACCGATACAAATCTGACCTGTAATCTGGCTTTAATCATCAGTCCTGAAACCTTGTTGAAACCCATATGCTAGTATGAAAAAAAACCTACTAGACATTGGCATCTGCTCTAGAGGTTTCGTTTTGTGTGAAACATGCCAGGGGATTAGGGATGAACATAAACAGTAATCGATTATGTGTGCAAACTGCAAATGCTTTTTTTGGGGGGGCATTCTAGTCATAACATTTTGTTACATTCTGGTAATTTGTTTGTGTAATGTAGTACTGTATTTTATATTTGTGTTTGTTTAAATGTACCAGGATGTGAGAATCGGGTGTGTAATCCTCGCATGGGGAACCTGGCAGTCGGGCGTCCTGTACAGACAGTTTCTCAGTGTGGCTCAACCTCTCCAGAACGCTACTGTAACTACAAAATGGGTAGTTGTGTGTTGCATTGCGAGGTGTGTGATGCTTCGGTAGCGCATCGTGCGCACCCACCCGCCTCCATGACAGACTCGCCCTTCAAACACCCGGCGACCTGGTGGCAGTCCTCTCCGGAGACTGCCGTTGAAACTCTACAGCTGGATTTAGAGGTGGAGTTTTACTTCACCCATCTCATTATCATATTCCGGTCGCCACGCCCTGCTGCCATGGCAATCGAGCGCTCGCAGGACTTCGGGCACACGTGGAGCGCTCTGATGCTGTATGCGCACAACTGCAGTGAAGTGTTCAGGCTGGAGGATGGACAGCGCTGCACTCAGAAATACTCCACAGCATCGCCTTGCAGCAATGGAGAGGTGAGGGAGTGCACACCGAATCTCACATTTCAAATGCATTTTCGGGAGAATAATGGTGGTGATGATCCTCTTACTTTTTCAGTAGGCATCATTCATTGTCTGTCCGGTCAAAAAAAAGTCACTGTGGATTTAAATAGGGAAATGCGTAGGAGTCTATGACTGGATCATTACTGCAGAGCATGTTATGTTTGGCAACAGTTCTTCTAAATCTAATTGATGGAGTGTGTTGCTTTTCATTTCTTAAACAACCATGTAGGAAGACTCATTAATTGATGGATATAAATGTTGTGATGTTGTTTCCATTAAGAGGCGCATCAATTTTTGGTCAAGATCTTGTATTGACAATGCAAGAGTCCAGCACTCTGTAAAGTCTCCTCCAGGACATCCCAAAGACTTTCAATGAGTTTAAGGTCTGGACTCAGAGGTGCCAATTCATGTGTGAAAATGATTCTTTATGTTCCTTCACAACCATTCCTTCACAATTTGAGCCTGATGAATCTTGACATTTATCATCCTGGAATATGGCCATGATGTGTCTTCCTACATGGTGGTTTAAGAAATGAAAAGCTACACACTCCATCAATTAGAGTTAGAAGAACTGTCGCCAAACATAACATGCTAGAAACATAATAATCACTGCAATAATGATCCAGTCATTGACTCTTCTGTTTAAATCCAAACAGCGACTACTACTACTTTTTTTTTGGCCTGACAGTGTATAAATACCATGTTACATGAACATGGTTATCAAAGTATCACGGTATTAGCTTCTGTAGCTCACCTTCATTGTAAAAATTAATGTGTACACAGGATTATTATTATTATTTAAAATGATTTAATCAACCTGACTGCATTAGGTTACGTCAGGGGTTCCCAAATGTTTTTGTCACATAAACCCCTCATATGTGAAATATTTACTTAAAGTACAACCTCAGATTTTAAATGAATATTTCAGTAATTTAGAAACACATTCACGTAACTCTAATTATAAAAATACAAACAAAATATATTCATGTTCTAAATTAGTTGAAATTTTGATCATTGTATTGTAATAATGAAATGCAATGCAGAAATCACACTGGAATTAGTGCAATTATTGTGCAGCCCCATTTTTTTATTTTTTATTTTACATTCTATATAATTAATTATTAGCTTTTCATCAACTCACAAACCCCTGTTTGGGAAACCCTGTGTTACGCAAAGAAAGTTTTTAGCAATTTTGCTTTTTATAGTGTTCAAAAAATCCCAGTACTAATAACAAGTGCGTGTGCGTTTGTGTGTGTCGGTGTGTGTGTGTGTGTGTGTGCGTGTGTGTGTGCGCGCACGCACGCGCAGAGCCAAATGTCCTCATTATATAGTAAAATATTATGACGACCGACTAGGGCAGAGATTTTACTGGACCTCACTAGTTAAAAAAGGCTTATAAATCTGCCAAATCATGTTTTTATATAAATCTAGGTTTGCACATGCTTCTGTGATGGGTCAGGCTTGGGTTAGGTGATAGAAAATATCATTAACCTGATATAAAATCAGTGAAATTCTATACAATGTCCTCAGTAATATAGTAAAACAAATGTGTGTGTGTGTGTGTGTGAACAGGTAATTTACCGTGCTCTGTCGCCCTGGGACAAACTGGATCCATACAGCATTGATGCCCGATCCCACCTCGGCATCACTAACATACGGATGCGTCTACTTCAACCGCAGTCCTGCCCCTGCCAGCGTAAACTTCCTGATGCCAACATGCCTCCTGCCCACTATGCCATCTATGACCTCATCTTAAAGGGAGGCTGTTTGTGCCACGGGCATGCAGACCAGTGTGTGCCTGCTGGTGACCGACACATCTCACACCCTCCGAGCAAACACATGGTGAGTGTACAGTAATACCAAGGTTTTTTTTCTTTAGGTCTGTACATACTAGCTTACACAGTGTTCTCTCATTTTAGTACTAGCATCTCGGGCCAGAATTTGTTCTCTCATTTTAGTTAAATCATGACCTAGAATTACGACGACTTATTCATTTGTTTCCACATTTTAATAAATCATGGCCACTTTGAACTATGTAATAAACAGTATATGACTCGAAGTCAGGTTAGAACCCATTTTGCAGAAGAGTTTAATGAACCAATCCAAAACAGTAGGTGCAAACGTGGTCAGCAAGGCAGGCAGTGGTTGAAAAGCAGGTAAACAGTTAGAAACAATTATCCAAAAACGTAAGTCCAATAAACTGGCTGAAGATCATAACATGAGGCAAGACATTGGAGAAACACTCTCTAAGGAAGGTGAAAAGTCCCTTTCAAGGAAAGTCTATTCACAGTGATTTTCTTCATTTTTTCTCAGATTATCTAAAATCAATCATGGCATCTATTGTTAGTGATACTCCTCAAACAAGTGATACACACACTAAATTACTGACAGATCACAGAAACCATCTTTTCACCACTTCTATTCCATCTGCCATACAGGATCTAATTATGAAGTCTAACGCTGCGTACTGCCAGCTTGACCCGGCACCGACTGCTTTACTTAAAATGTGTGCTTCTGATATTTCACCCATCATAACCAGTTTGGTAAATTGTAGTTTAGTATCTGCTATTGTCCCTGTGGAATTAAAAATGGTTGCGGTCACACCCATCCTTAAGATATCTGGCCTGGATTATTTAAATATGAACAATTACAGGCCAATCTCTAATTTACCATTTCTGGCAAAAATATTAGAGAAAGTAGTAGCCTCTCAAATATGATTATATTGACTGTAATTGACCCTTCGCTAAGCCCCGCCCTCCCTAGTTACTGTTGCTACGCCTGTCAAGCTTTCGTGCCTGACACGTCTATTACAGTGTGTATGCACCGGTGTCAGACATTCCCAATGAGATAATTAGTAATTTTTGGCGAACATGTGAAATATCTGAAAGAGCAAGACAAAAGGGACTGCAGTATGCATTCGAGGGATATATCCACGACATAATATGCAACCGATTAGAGAATAATTTCAGAAAAATTGAAGCTAAAGCCTATAGTCCCAGCGCAAGGCCTCATACGCTGACCATTCAAATGGGAAACACACAAATTGAGGAACAGCTATGTTCGTGCACAGCAGGGTAAGTGATGTGAAAATAATCTAATAATTATAAATCAAACAGGAAATAAATCTTGTGGAACAACACCGGGAGAGCCGCGGTCGGATTGGGTTAAAGTTAACGTTACTCAGTCAGGGGTAGTAGGCTGTCGATTAACAAAATGCCGAAATATATTTTAAAGTATGTCAGTGAGCCTCCATCTTGTCTTTAATCGTCTTATTTTACGTTAAAATATATGCATTATGAACAAAGAACCGTCATTATTTCCAACTTCCAAGCAATAGGTGTTTTTGTTAATCCTGTGGACATGTAGTTGTGAATGGGGTCTCACACACTGCTTGATCCACGCCCGGCATTTCTCTCCTCGGCTTTTAGATTTTCGGGAAGGAAAAAAATTCCACTCCCCCGTCCAAACTTTTAGGATACCGGGTATCAGATTTGCACAATCCATATGCACAACGCTTCGGCATGTTTCCCTCGCTCGAAAGCTTGCCAGACCTCCCGGGCCTAGTTACGGTTGCTAAGACACGATTGGCCAGTGGCGGTTTTCGGGCGTGGCTTAGCGAAGGGTCAATTGGTCTTTTTGAACCTTGTCCATCTAGATTTCGCCCATCTCACAGTACTGAAACGGCTCTTATTCATTCGTATGGTTAAGGATATCCTTCTTTCTATGGATTCTGGGTTTACAAACATCCTAATTCTCCCTGATCTAAGTTCAACGTTTGATACTATCTGTCATGATATTCTCATTTCCTGTCTTTCTGATATCGGAATCGGTGGTTCTGCTTTTTCCTGGTTCATTTCTTATCTCACCGATTGAAAGTACTGTCACCATGCAAGGGTATAAGTCCACCACAACTCCACTGACACAGGGTGTTCCACAGGGCTCGGTCCTTGGTCCGTTACCTTTTTTCATCTACATGCAACCACTTGATATCATACATGATATCATACACAAGTATGGACTTTCATTGTTATGCTGATGACGTCCAAATCCATCTTACCACCTCCTCTGATATTTCATCTCTGCCGAAATCAAACACTGGATGCAATGAAGTTACACAATGAATTTACCAACCAGCGATTGCCTCTTTTATTTAGAAGGCGGGACAAATTCCGCCATATTGCGCTTTGCAGTTTCTCCCATTTATAAGTAATAGGAGTGCAACATCTTTGTATACCTAATCTTTGGCCTAGTGGAGCATAAGGGCTGCGTCGGAAATCGCATACTCTCTTGAGTAGTAATTATTCACGACCACTGAAAAAAGTACGTTCTATATAGTATGAATGTAATCTATACATACTACATTCGCCATGCTGTCATTATCAAGTGAACAGTTACGCTTCATTACAGCCATTCATAAATCCTCTCCTGTGGCCTCATGGGATAGTAATATGCACACTTCAGAATCTCGCGGTAGTAGGTCATCTGGGTACTTTTTGCCTACTATATAGTAGGGAAGTATGCAATTTCGCCAATGGCTTATAATCCTACAAACAGAAAGTCTCTAGAAGGAATGGAGTGATGTCTATATTTGGAAGACAGTTCCCTGTGGTGGCTGGATGAAAGAGTATCCGGTTGTGCCCTTACAAACTAATGGTGGGTTATGCGCCACAAACTTTATTAATCTGTAAAACAGGTCGCATTTGTATGTGCTTCATTAAATATCGAGCTGTTTTACTCAAAGATGCCTTCAAAGGAGCCAGCAGAGATGAGCATTACCAATGTCATGTCATTACCAATGACAACTTAAAACAAGAGAACGAATAAGTAAAACGTGCTGACATATAAATAAGTCGTGGGAACTAATTGCTAACTCGTGGCCACAATATACGGTAGCGGTACATATTTTTTTCTGCATGTCATGTGCGGGGCTTTGTATTAGTACTTCAACTAGTAGGCCTACTTAAGATTTTATTTGCCAAGGAAATATTTGTAATTTGTAATTGAAAAATGTAAGTTTTTCAACTAGTATTATTTCAGCTATATTTTAATTAAAGCTGCAGTCCGGCATTTATCCTCTTTGTCGCCATCTCTGTTCGAAATCTGCAATTGCAGTCATTCGCGGAATTATCAACTTTACGTGGGTTGTAGTTCAACACCCTCGACACGGCACAGCGCGGATGAACACAGTGTTTGAGGAGAGTGTGCAGCTGTCAGTCACCGCGCCGATGTGGATATTGTCATTCAGAATCACAGATTATTCTTTTTGGAAGTATGACCAACATAAGAATTTTCACCGGGAAATGTCATCTGAACTAGTAAGAAACATTCACTTTTGTTCTGGTTCTGACGTTGCAGTAAATCGCGCTGATTAAATCTAACAATTGCTTATAAGTAATCATTTCACGCAAAACCGTGCAAAGTAGCTATACTATGTTCTCTAATTGTTAATGTTAACAACGTCAGTAAGCATTGCGTGACTACATCATGTAATGTCCTTCCGATATTATCCTTGTTTTCGCATGGGTCCGGTTGCAGTCTCTTTTTTTCTGTAGCCACTCCGAAGTCCGAACGAAGTCTTTTGCATTTTACAGCGGGTGAGTCTCTAGTTGTCACTGATGATGATCGTCGTTTGAACCTTTCTGGATCCGCCATCAAATTGATAAGTTTAATTATATCAAGTGCTGTGAGAAAAGGCTATAAATCTCTACCTCCAACATCCTCACACGCAATATAGCTTATACTAGCCGAGACTCCTTCTTTATGTGTACAGATGTGTGTGTACAGATGTGACGTAATGACGCAAAGACATGCTCGAATCTCCCGCGGAAATCCACCAGTACCACTAAAATTAAAAACATTATTACAAGCTTACCGTTTTGCATCGAGCTAAGGCAAGCAGATAGTTTTGAACACTGGCTGGTTATGTATTTTATCAAATATGTATTTTGGTTAATTTTTAACCCAAAAAAAGCTACGGACAGCAGCTTTAACGAAAATGATTTTATGAGTTTAAGTTAATAACAACACAGTTTTGGTGTGTTTTGGACCAAATTGGCTTTCATTGTGTGGGCATAAACAGTTGAAACATTCTTCAAAATATCTATATTTTTTATGTTCCATAGAAGACATAAAATCAAAAAGGTTGAAACGGCGTGAATGACGTAAATCATAACAGAGTTTTCAACAGTGGCGATGTAAAACAAAAAATGGCGAAGAACTTTTGATTATTTATGGTTATCCACATTCCCAAGAACATGTTTCCCGTATGATTACATAAACAGTTCCCCAGTCTCTCTCGTTCATTCTCTTTCCCCCTCTCACTCTCACTGTCTTTGTTTCAGATTATATAAGCCGTGTTTTTGTTGTTCATTTGGCTCTATCTCTGTGGAGAGATAAAACTCTTGATAGCAATTGAAGGATAAAAACGGAGGGAGGAATACCGATAAGCGCCGAGACGTAAACGAGGGGCTGCGTTGCTTGCCCTTTTTCCTAATTGAGTTGTTGTTTGCATGCTGTGATCAGACAATAACAGCAATTAGTCTCACTCGCTCAACACACACACATCAACTCGTTGCTCTCTTATCAAAGGTCAGACCGTTTGATCTAGCATCCCAGACAAAACACACACCCCGTGCCAATCGACAAGCATTGCACACACAGACCTACACACATCCCACCCAGACATGCAGACAAACACGGTCCCATTGACATGCTTCGTCCATCCACACTCATAATGGGAACACGTGCTCACACGCAACCCTTGTGTGCCCCTGCAGGAATGTTTTGGTTAGCAGGGAGAGTGTGTGCGTCTGAGTGCGTTTCCTCCCATATTATGAAGATAAACATGTGAAAGTGTTTCAGATGCCAACTGGATGGAGCGCTGCCAGTCCCCCCCCCCGGTCCTCTTTCCCTCTGAAGCGCTAATTTCTCCTTCTTTTTGTCTCCTGAAGAATTTTCTAAATTCTTTACTCATTTTATTTTCATTCCACATGAGAGTGACCGATAATATTTCTCCGTGCTTTCATTGGGAACTCGCGGAGGAGAGGACATCTTAAGTCTGGGATATTGAGAAGCATTAGGTAAACAGGGCGAGGAGGATGTTTTTATACAGGACTATTAAATGAGAGATGTTGAGCACATAATTAATTTAAAAGGGATGTAGGAGAGAATGAGGGGCCGCAGCACGGGAAAATGGATTATGGGTATTTTTTTTATTTATTTAATCATCTCCCAGGCTAAATACTGCTGCCTTAGAAAAGTAAAAGCACAACAAGACACATGGTTTGATGTAACATTCATGTCTGTTGCACAGATCCTTTAAAAAGGTAAAATATTTAGACTTATTATTTACATATTCCAAATCCATAGACCTAAAAGTGTGAGCAGTTGTAAGAGTAATGGCAGTCATGTCAAAATGTTATCAATTATACTACTGTTCAAAAGTTTGGGGTCAATAAATCTCTTATGCTCATCAAGGCTGCATTTATTTGATCAAAAATACTTTTAAATTGTAATAATATTACTGTTTACATATTGTGAAATATTATTACAATTTAAAATAAGTGTTTTCTATATGAATATATTTTAATTATCCTGTGATCAAAGCTGAATTTTCAGCATTATTACCCCAGTCTCCAGTGTCACATGATCCTTCAGAAATCATTGTAATATGCTGATTTGATGCCCAAGAAACATTTATTATTATTATCAACTTTGAAAAAAGTTGTGCTGCTTAATTTTTTGTGGAAACCATGATACATTCTTTGATGATTACATTTATTTGTAATCAAAAACCTTTGTAACAATGTAAACTTTTTGTGACATTGTAAAAGTCTTGAATTTCGTGTTTGATCAATTTAATGCATCCTTGTTGTATTAATTGTAATACCTTACATGTATTACTTTTACTTAAAGTAAACGTTTGGGTAGTGTACCTACCTAGTGAATCTAATAATTAGTTTTGGCAATGTAATGTCAATTGGAAAAACTCCAGTGAATCTAGTGTAGCAAACAAGTTAAGTGTAGGTTCAGGTGAGAACACAAAGCGTTAGGTGTTGGCCTATCCCATTTGGTTTATAGTTTGGCAAAGTATGCGGTATGATCAAATATTTGGCACCTGAATGAACACAGTTGACGCCGGAGCATGTTGGCGATCGGCTTAGTAGATCTGTGCTTGTAAGATTTTTAACAAGTCTTTGGCCTGAGGTCGTCTAAGGTGAATGTGTAACAATATGTCATTGTATTGTGAATTGTGTTTTTCTGGCCTCTGGCACAGGTTCACGGTAAATGTGTGTGTCGGCATCACACGGCTGGGGATCACTGTGAACGCTGTGATCGTCTTTACAACAACCGACCATGGCAACCAGCTAACGGTTTAACCGGAGAAGCTCAACAGTGTGTTAGTAAGTTCAGTTCATATGTGTGCTAGAGTGTTGTGTTAATGGTTGTCAGTGTCAATCTCAATATATAATTTGTTCCTTACACTATTGTTATGTTTGGGGTCAGTAAGATTTTTCTTTTGTTTTTGAAAGAAGTCTATGCTTACCAAATCTCCATTTATTTAATTAAAAAAATCATAAAAAACGTAATATTGTGAACTATTATTACAATTTAAAATAACTGTTTTCCATTGTAATATATCTATAAATGTCATTTATTTCTGTGATGGAAAAAGCTGAATTTTCAGCATCATTACTCCAGTCTTCAGTGTCACATGATTCTTCAGAAATCATTTTAATATGCTGATTTGCTGCTCAAGAAACATTTATTATTATTATCAGTGTTGAAAACCATTTTTTTTTTTGCTTGTGGAAACCATGAAACATTTTCTTCAGGATACTGTGATGAATAGAAACTTCAAAAGACTATTAATTTGAAATATAAATCTTTTGTAACATTATAAATATATTGAATGTCACATCTGATTAAATGCATCCTTGCTGAATAAAAGTATTATATTCAGTAACATTATATTGTATATATATATATATATACAGTGACAATTTATAAGTATCTACGTTTTCAAATTATGTATTTTAGAGTCCAGTAGATAGAATTTTCCAATGGCTGTTGGTTGGTCAAAACATCTAACTAGTCCAATATTTCTACCACAAAATAAAAAGTCAACCACTGGAGTTCAAAAGTAGCCCAATTCTTTAGGAAACCTGGCAACCCTGGTCTATTTGTCTGTGAGTTGATTCATATCGGTAATAACCTAATATGTGTATTCTTGTGCCATTGTGTAGAGTGTAAATGTAACGGCCACGCTGAGAGTTGTCACTTTGACGAAAGTGCATGGCTACGCTCGGGTCAGCGGAGTGGCGGTGTGTGTGACTGCCTCCACAACACCAGCGGCCGCCACTGCCAGCACTGCCAGAGCGGCTTCTACAGAGACCCCGAGAGACCCTTCACTGCCCCGGGCTCCTGCAGATGTAAGACACAATCATGCATCATTGTGTAAACGCACGTTCAAATCCATCTTCACGCATTAATCGCTCAACATCGGCACATTTATATATTTTTAATATACTATGGTCAGTCTGAATTCTTGATTATGACTAGCTGGAAGGTGTGTGTGTTTTAAAACCATTTATTGCACATGTAGTTCCAGTCAGTTTAATCACTGTTCTGTATTAATGCACTACCTTCATTGAATCGCTCTCCCACACACACACACCACTCGCACACAGAAATCAGAGATCGCGCTGCGCACACACAGACACATTCAGGAGCATAGAAACTTAGCAACGCTTTTGTTAATGAAATAGCTTTGCTACTCAATCGCTACATTATATTTCTCAGCAACGAGGAGGTGACATTGCTGTTTTTGAAACTCGCAGCTTCTCTATTAGTTGAAAGATGCTGCACAGATGCAGGTAATTCACACACGCGTCTCTCTCGATAATTAATTCAAATAAATGTTTTAATTCATTAATTCAAATAAATCTTAATAATCTTGCCACACTACTTTCTCTCTCTGCGTCTGATAGGTACACTGTGTAACTTTTTTGGTCAAAATTAACAAAACTTAAATAATTAGTCCATGCATTATCAATCCTTCTTCCAAAACATGTATTTTTTTTTTTTTTTTTTTTTTTTTTTTTACTATGGTAAGCCTATTATAAGTGTTTATATTTTAGACCTGTCGGGATGGTTTTCCCAGGAAATTGTATGCGTCGCTCGCCCGTGCGTGTCTCGTCATATCCGTAAATAGAGAGAAGTTGCTCCGGCTACTTTGACGCGGGATGGTGAGGTTAGTTTCACAACGAGTGAGAAAGGTTGACATGGAGCAGCTAAATCTCAAACCTACAGGAAATCACCTGTTTAAAAAAAAAGAAGCTGAACAGAGGAAAAGAGACCGTGACAGAGCTCGTAATAAAACAAGAACCAACATTAGCTTGGATTTTTGGAGATGGCAAAAACTGAGGAATTTGAAATGTTGTAAAAGCATGTTTGGAGATGGTGTTTTTATTACTCAACAGGTGAGAAAGGTATTTTATTGAACAGATAAACAGCCACATGTATCTCTCTAACAGAGTTCATTGCAAAGCATTATCTATTGTGAAGGGTCGTTTCCTTATGGTTGTTGTAGTGATGAAAATAACAGTTATATGTACCCTTCCAGTCAAATATTATGCTGCAAACATCCATAACAGCTTTAACTTGCAAATGACCATGGTATAAGAGGGATAATCCACAGCTAGTTGTGCTTTAATCTATTTGAACATTTTGCGTCAGGTGGTTCTTTGTCTCCACGTCATGCATTAAAATCATTTAATGCACAGCTATTTTATTATATACACAATATTTCAACTTTAACAAAACGGCTATCCAAGTGTGGAATACTTCTATAAAAATTGGATCCAATGTTCCTTATAATTAGTCTTTTTTTTTTTTTTTTAGTGTGTGAATGTGTGTTTGTGTCTTAAACAAAGATGAAAGCCATTAATCTCAGATTTTGAAAAGCTGCTTAAAATGGCATGTGGAGTATCTGTGATTTCCCCCACTGTTCCGTTCTTGATCTCCGTCTTTCTTCAACGTGTGCATGAAAATGCGAGTGAGTGTTTGAGTATACGTGTGCAGCTTGGCCTAGATGTCAAATTTCAAGAACTCGTCAGATCAGCGAACATGTCCAATATTGTAGCACACACACACATGCACACATTGAGGGGATGTTTGGTATTGAATGTTGTTCCTGCTCGGAATGCTAATGGCTCTTACGGCGAGTTGGGACATGTAGAATAACAAGAACATTGATGGGATCTCGGCCATGTGTGTGTGTGTGTGCAGGAGTGTTAAATGTGGAGGCAGACAGATTAATCATCAGATGACATCAGTCTCATAATAATTGACTACGCATGCAAAGCATCGGGATGGCTCTATATAATCGTTCCAATGATGCGAGTCATTGAAAAATTCATTGCTTAGAGCAAAGCTCAATTATATTTGCATGTAATTTGCAGCCTGATGTGTGTATTTTGTGTAACTTTCTTTCTTTCTGAATTGCAGCTTGCATGTGTAACCATGTTGGTTCCACAAGTTGTAACCCTGATAATGGAGACTGCATCTGTAAGCCAGGGGTGGCCGGGCCACACTGTGACCAGTGCATGCTGGGATACTGGGGTTTCGATGAATATGGTTGCAAGCCCTGCCAGTGTGCTGGCGATTGTGACCCGTACACAGGAGACTGTATGATTAGGTGAATATGAACCTTTTTGATTATATAAGACATTGATAATGCATTTATCTGAACAAAAGTACAATAACAATACACTATAATTCACATTTACATAATGCTGATATTAAATGCATTTATTTGAGACCCACTGTGTGTGATATTAAGTTAGTATGGCCTTATATCAGTGTCGTTATTGTTAACTAAAGCTATAACTATTAAACAAATGATTTTGGTTACTGCAATAAAATACAATATAAATATTAGATGAAAAACTTAAATGAAAATTACAGTCTGAAGCTTAAGTCGAGGTACCAAAATGACTAAAACTAAAACTGAAATACAAATGAATTAAAGCTATATAGAAATATTTCAAAATAATAATAAATATGACAGAAGTACGTAACAATTTCTACAACTTAAACTAAAATGAAACTAAAAATATAATAATAATAAATACTACAATGTTGTATAAATAATACTTAAACAACATTTAGACACTTATTGTAAGTCACATTTAAAAATGTATGAATTTCATAGCATTAGATTACAAAAATATCAAATTAAGTGATATTTTCAACAATTGTTCCCAATTTTGAATTTGAATTTGTCGTAGCATAGGACAATCAGAAAGTGTCCAAATGTTTTTCTTCATTTTGAATAGTAATATACATTTTGTTTTATCATTGAACACATGCCATCTTTGACGCTTCTTGCTTGGAAAGTGTGCTTGTGCTTACTTTATTTAAAATAAATCCCAGTTGGTTTGATATTTTGTTGTCAAATCCAATGAGATTCATTTTCAAATGTGACTTGAGTGGATGTTGGGTTTCCATGATTTATGGGGACTTTCTAAAGACGTAATGATATTTATACTGTACAAACTGTATATTCTATCCCCCTAAACCTATTTTCAAAAAACAGGTTTTATTATAATGTAAAAAAAAATACATATAAGTAATTTTCCTCCTGGGGACCAAAACAATGTCAAAGAGTTCTGGTTTTACTATCCTTGTGGGGACATTTTGTGGTTTATATATAGTTGTAGTATTATATAATTTATATATTATGATAAAAATTACATTGATAGATAGTAACACCGATATATAACCATGCATGTGTTTTTTTGTGTGTGTGTGTGTTATTCTTGTCTAGGTCTGAATCAGATCCCAACAGCACGGCAGAAAATCATCTTTTCCGAACAGAAGAGCTTTTCTCCGCCCTTAGTCATCCAGGTATTAAATGGAAATCTTGGAGCTGATAACAGCGCCGTCTTGTTCCCATGAAAAGTTTATTGTCTCGTCTGGGTTGAAGGCATGTGCTGTTGTAAAGTCGTGCCTGTTTTTAAGTTGTCATAGCTGCAGAAAGAAACTGACAGCCAATACTTTAATTGCTGGGTATTTCTTTTCTTGACAGACAAATGTGTATGCAAACAGCAAGCCCTTGGAAACAGCAAAATGTTCTGCAACGTAAAATATGCTTATGGTAAGCGGCATATAAAACAGTCCGGCACCAGAGCGTGCTTGCTGTGCATGTAGTTAATGTGTGTTTGCTTGTGTGTTTGTAGCAGTGAAGGTGAGAGTGCTCGGTGCTCATGATAAGGGCTCTCATGCAGAAGTGGATGTTAAGGTTCTCAAGGTGTTGTGGGATAACTCGCGCCTTAGGCTCTCTCGTGGAAATCGAACTCTTTATCCCGAGTCTTGGACGTCACGAGGCTGCACCTGCCCTGTACTTTTCCCAGGTTAGCAAACATGCACACAGACTCATGGTTTGTCATGATATGCAAGCCCATATGGAGATTTCCCCACACATTTTCTGTGTTGATTGTGGGGATAAATTCGTGGAATGGATTTAAATCTGATCAGATGCGTTAAATGGACCTCGGAGAACTGTGTTTAACTGGAGGTATTATCAAATCAAATGCATTGGAAACTAAGTGTGAATCTGCAGCGTTTTCACCTGAATTCTGTGAGCGCAGATTCAGTGGAAGCAGAGTTATTTAATATAATGCCATAACACACACAATCTGATAACTACCGGGAGGGAACATATTCGGTTCACTTAGTTTTGTTGTGGCCATGACATATTAACTCATGGGAACGTGATAATATGTCGTGGCCTCGAGATCCTATGTTGAGGGAACGACATTTTTCTTGTGGCCATGAGTTTAATGTGTAAACTAACTTGCGTGACCATAGCAACCTGTGATTATCACAAATGGATATTATTAATAAATTAATATTTTATTTTGAATTAAAGGAGCTGTATGTAAGATTGTGGCCAAAACTAGTACTGCAATCACTGTCAAATTACTGTAGAGCGGTGTATCCCCTCCCCCTCCTCCCTGACTCGAGGTTGCCAGATCGGCTGCAGGATCCAGCAGGAACATGACGAGCTGCAGCTGTGGTAACTGAGCAGAGCTGGCAACCCGGATGCCGCAACACTACTGACTTCGTGATTGGTAGATAGGTGGAGGGTGGAGCATCAGACCAAAACACAACATGACAACATCAACATCAGTTGAGGGCTGCAACTGCACTTTTTAAATGACAATATCCTGGCCAGACTACTGTTGTCAGTGATATAAGTATTTGAAATGTACATGATTTCTTAATGTCTAGTGACATTTCAGGGCCATTTTATGATTAATTGAAATAAATTTCTTACATACAGCTCCTTTAAGCATGACAAATTTAAAATTGATTATATTAACCTATTATACTATTATATTAGGCCTTTTAAATCCATTCACCAATAATGTCTTTTTTTATTTCATATTTTTGTACTATTTTTATTAAGTTTGTTAAAAAAGGTTATATATATCTTAAACATTTGTTAACATGTATTCTTTAACTCAATGAGCTCATTGTTTCTGCCCTTAGCTAACTGCGTTTTATATATATATATATATATATATATTATAATTTTTTTATATGTACATTTCTGAAATGCATAACTTGGACAATGTCATCTCTGATAACAGTTTACTCTAAATTGTAATGTAAACATGCATTTTCTGTAAAGCTGCTTTGAAACCATGTGTATTGCGAAAAACACTATTAGGCCATGAGACGGGACCCCAAATTTGGGCTACCGGTACCATTTTGAGGGATTAAATTTCTTTTTGATTTTCATGAAGGTACACATCTCTAGTGTTGGAAAATGTGTGATAGCATCCGATCCATGGTAGCTTTCATTAGAAATCAACACTTATATCATCCTACCTCAAGGTAAGGTGTTCAGTGTCTACAAGAGAGAAAAATGTATCCTTTTATAATTTAAAAAATGTATTAAAAAAATTAATAATTGTTTTATTATAAAAATGTATAACATTTTTATAAAATTTAAAGATAAATTAATTTATCCTTTTTCTTGACAAATGTTTGAAAACTGTCCTCCATAACCAAAAACTACCTTGAATCTAATGCTATCACACATTTTTCAAATACAGGGTCATATACCTACACAAAAATCACCATGCGGTTTAATCCCTCAAAATGGTACCAATCAACCCTCTGTCTCACGGCCTATATACAAATAAATGTGAATTGAATTGAATTTATAATTTTTTTTTTTTAAAGAATACTAATACTTTAACTAATATAGGCCTACAAGAAAACATTATCCATCCCATCTCACCGCCTTTTAAATCCATTCACTGATCATGTCTTCTTTATTTCATATTTTTATATTATTATTATTAATAACAATGTTTTATTAATATAGTGCCTTTCAAGGTCCCAAGGACGCTTTACAAAATAGACAAATAATACAGATAATACAGAAGGACAAGCAAAGAACAACAAGCAGCCAAACAATAAACATAGCATGGGAGATAATAACTGAAGAAGTGTTGATATAGCAGAAAGAGGAACCCATTAGTTTCAAAACCATGTGAGTAAATGTGTTTTAAGTTCTGCCGTGAAGAGACAGCTCAGGGTTTCTGGAGTAGCATATTTCAGAGATTAGGGGCCATAATACTGAACGCCCTAGCAGGCTGAACCATTTCATTTGATAAAAAACTATGGTTTATATCATAAACACACAAACTCAAAGGTCTTCACGGCAACCCGTCAAAATAAAAGTTCGGAAATTGTGACAAATATATTACAGTTGTACAGTAGAAGCTATGTTTCAATGTAATAATAGTACTAAAACTAATAATAATAATATTGTTTGAGGAAAAAGTTAATTTCAGATTATTAAAAGATAAATTAAATGAATGTTTTATGCCTACATTTGATTGCCAGAATCTTGTGTTCATATTTACAGTCATGTTTTTAGATTGGGATTGGGCCAAGGCTCATTTATCGTCACTTACTTGGGTAGCCTAAGCCTACAGAAATGCAGTCATAAAATCAATTGATTTTCGGGCGTGATTGTCGAGTATTTACAAAATATATACTTTAAGTATAGTACTTTACCTAATTAAAGTTCTGTATATTATGTTAAAGAGATACATGAAATGAGGGGGGAAATAAAGCAAATGCATAACTATGACAAAATAAAACCAATAATAATATACAAATATTAATGATCAGTGAATGAGTTTAAAAGGCTGTGGGATGGGATAAAAAAAAATGTAAAAGAAAATAAACGGAATAAAAGTGACAAAAGCACATAACAAAATTATTCAAATTAAAATGAAAACCGAAAATATAAGAATAAAAGTTTAAAATATGATATTATATATTATTTATATTTAAAATAAAGTTCAAATATAAAAAAATACTTCAAGAGTTTATAAGAGGATACTAAATTAGTTAATTTTTAACACTGCCTATTTTGTTTATACATGTTTGGTGATATTGGCCTAATGTGATACTTTTGTAAACTGATCAAACTGTTTTTCCTCTTGCTTTAGGGATGGAATATCTTGTAGTTGGACACGAGGATGTGAGAAAAGGCCGTCCCATGGTTAACATGAAGAGTATAGTGAAGCCATGGAGACCCAGCTTGAGCCAAAAAGTCCATCAGCTTCTGAAAACGAAATGTAGTTCAAAGACCTAGAGTCTCCCATGCTACCTGTCAACTTAGCCTTTATTTTATTATGACCATTTTCACCCTCTGAATCAATTCTTTAAAACAGTGGTTCTCAACCGTTGCGACTTTTGTCCAAGACAAAATTCGGAGACCCTCCTGTCCTGTCTAAGCTGATGTAATAAAATAAAAAATAAACTTAATTTAATGACAGTTTAATGTTGTAAATGTCGTCAGGTTTTTATGTGAATATAATTACATTTATACCATTTTAAGACGTATTGGGAAGCTTGCTGGTACCCTAGTGGGCCCCGGCCTCCTGGTTGAGAACCACTGCTTTAAAACCAGCTGTATGGATGTATTCGCTAGCTGTCAGGTGAATCCTAGCACTGTACAAAATGTATAAAAAATATGTATGTATGTGTATATATAAGATAATATATGTAGTTTTATATTTCTATAACTAACCCTGTATATAGCATGCATTTTGTACACATAAAAATACAACGCATATATGCAATATTATTGTCTTATGGTTACCTTCATCACAATTGAAAAAAACGAATTTATGTTATGAGTTTTCTTACTTTTATTGACATGCATTAATACATTTTAGTACCGACCACGACCACAAGGTGTCAGCCTATAATCATATTAATGAGTATGTTGAATTATATTCACATGAACACAAATTCGTGTATGCAATGTAACATGATTTACTGCTGATAGAAGAGGTAGGCCAAGGCTGTCTTAAAAATCGTATTACAAAAGTGAAATGGCTAAAGCTCACACTTAAAGGGATAGTTCACCCAAAATGTTGTCATCATTTACTCTCCCTCATGTTGATCCAAAACTGTATGAGTTTCTTTCCTCTGTTTTATACACAAAAGAAGATATTTTGAAGAATATTGGTTACCAGTTAATTGACTTCCGTAGTATTTTTTCCCCTACAATGGAAGTCAATGGCTAACGTCAACTGTCATGGTTAAACACATTCGTCAAAATAGCTTCTTTTGAGTTCAATAGGAAAAAAATATATATTTATACAGGTTTAAAACAACTTAAGAGTGAATAAATGACAGAATTTTCATTTTTTGATCATATCCCATTAATTTCATTATTACTTTGGAGGTGACATTTTTTTACCACATAATTTATCTTATGGTTACAATATCAAAAAATCCCAAAGATATACTTTCTAAGTATAAAATATAAAAATATAAAACTTAAATATATGTAAACCAGGGATTGCTGAATATCAGGCAACCCTTCGCGGTGGGCGGGGCTAACGCTGGTCCATGAGGCCCCGCCCCTCCCGCATCCGCATCTCTGTCAGACGCGCAGATTGACGTGCCGCGATGTCGCTTTCCGCAATGAAGACGCTGATGGAATTACATTCAAACTAAAGAAGGAGAAAATGTCCGAAGTACGAAAATTCACAAAAAGGTTGAGCAAGCCTGGGACGGCTGCGGAGCTCAGACAAAGTGTGTCGGAGGCGGTGAGGACGTCCATTGCTGTGGTTAGTAACTCAAGAGACTACTCTCTCTCTGTGGGCTGTGTCTCAACACGTAGTGAGCTACCTATGTAGGCGGCGTTTTGGACATCACAGGCGCGTGCATGGCTGGAGCGCACTAGAGTGTAAAACAGTCCCAGTTTATTATTTGACCTCGTATATGCATATGAGCTGTCAGGTATTGCTTATAGTCGTTTTTTTGTGTGTGCAAACGGCGTTTGTAATTATTATTGAAACACGTGCCAGACTGCTGAGGCAAGAAGCATTACGTCTCGTGCCTTCAGGGCAATAACCGCAGCACAGCTTCAACATCTGTCTAACACATCGCATGTTCATACTGAGATATGCATTGATTTAAATGAAATAAAAATAGGGGTGTACTTCCTCGAAAAGGCTGGCATAGGTGATCCTGACTGGAACTACATGGATCATCCTTATGCCTTTGTGTAAAGAAGAGACATGTGCATGTGCTCATGCACCAGTCCAAGAATGGTCCATGGTCTCTTTTTCTTTAATGGACCATTGAGAAATAAATGATCAGAGGCAGAGAACAGATATGTGTCACTAATGTTTTTCAGAGAGGATATAGATTGTTGCAGCATTCATTTGAGGCATCAGCTATGCTCAGAAATGATATTTTCAGCCAGACACATGTCACGAGACTGAGATTTTCTACTAGAGCTGTATGAGTATAGGCCTATCATGTCATGATTGTCAGTTTGATTGTGGTTTCCAGGGAGACAGACAACAAATGGCACTCTATGGAGATTGCAAAGCCCTTGTTTTTCCCATGAGAATACCCTCCGGCTGCTCAGCTGTGCTTCCTGTGTCCTCTGCATGTGCTGAATAAAGTGTTTGTTTCATCTTTCCCCTTTTTTGTGCCTCTTTCGCACACTGCATCTGCACAAATTCGACCGAAATGATGATACAAGAAGTGAAAGAAGTGACCGCACCATTATCGCCGCTCATTGTTCCACTTAAAAACCCAATTGAATTGATAAACGAGCGGAGTTTTATTTGTGTTGACGTATTTCTCATCGGAAGTTTTGTTTATTTCTTCCCTTATTTTCTGAAATAGGGAATAGGTTGTTAGTTATGTCATAGCTGTGATCATGATTTTCTACTTGCTACTCGGTTTCAGGGGGTATAAGGGGGCGGGGCATTGTAATCCAAGAGAGAATTTGATTGGACAAAAATCTGTAGTGCAGGATGAGTCATTAAGATTTTTTGCGCTGTTTTACAGAAAGAGAACGACTACATTTTAAATGTGTATGTGTAACACTTTGGAGAACACTAGCATAAAGAGCATATAGACATTTCTGTAGGCCAACCTGAAAGTTTGCATCACCCTAATTGCCTTGATAGAAAAGCCAATTAGGATTTTTCCTTTGACTTTTGGATAAAAGCGTAAATAAATACAATCAACAGAAGTCAAAGCTTCCGATAACTCTTTCAGTCTGTTTAAAACCATTTTCCCTGAAAATTTTAGTTATAATAGTTTGCAAGAGTGCGATTATAAACACGAGGCTGTGAAAGCAAACTAGTGAGTACATGAGTTTACCTTACAAGACAAGTAAAAGCTTTTAAAAAATCACAAGAGAGTATTACTGATGTGTTTTATATGGTAGAATAAAACCTGAAAATATCTTGAGCTCGTGGTCACCTTCAAGCATTTACCTAGCCTGGGAAAACCCAGACAACTTCCGGCAAATTTAGATTTGCTCTGAAAGTTAGTCTGGCAAAGAGCTCATTCAAGCCCATTTCCAATCCATCGAAATCGAGGCACCAATCAGAAACGTTGGGCCGGGCTTTACATGATGACGACAGCGCTGGGATTTTGAAGCAGATTTTGTAGCCTACATTACAAAGATGGATGCCGCCGTCGAACATCACTCGTTCGAATCAGCTATCGCGTCTGTTTTAAGCGATTTGAACGTTTCCTTTTTGTTAAAAACCGAGCAAAGAACAACACTCGGAGATGTTTCTCCACCGCTCTGCATACGCCATCTCCTTCATCGCTCTGATTGGGTTTAGGTCTATCCGTGACGTCCGTTGGTGACGCCCCTTTGGAAATGATTTGTCTATGACGCTTTGCCAGACCATAACTCAGTTACAACTGAGAATGGTCTGGTTTTAACCAGGCTAGCATTTACCCAAAAACCCCATTGACTTCTGGACGATGCTACCAGAAGTGCTAAAATGCAAACTCGTTTACAGGTTTTGGCCTACAGAAATACGTCACCCCTGCACCTTTTAACCAAAAACCCATTCAAACAGAGCGGCACACTATAGACAGACATTAAACTGACCCCGTTTACTTTATAAATGCACATTCATGTTTTTTATTCTAAATGAAATGGTGCATATTATTTCGACTCAAAAAAATTCTTTGTCTCTGTAATCTTGTATTGCCATAACTTGCTCTTCCTCTGAAATGGCTTCCCATTTATAACTAAAAATAGCCTAATCATATTTAGGCACCATTTCAGCAAACAGCAATTCACATTGACTTTAAATTAGTGCTGTCAATTTTTGCGATTACGGTAGATCATTTTAAGCCGCTAAACTCTGGGAAAGTTTTCAGTCCAATTATCCAGTAAGTGAATGCATTCAAACAATCAGTCCAAAACAGCGCTAATGTAAAGAAAGCATCCCACCGCTGTATGGCCAGATGATACGCAAACTACATTTCTCGGCTGGATAAAGCGAACCAGCGTCTTGCTAGTGAAGTTTTGATGGATGAGGATTACAATCAAGGTAAAGAAGATTGAAGTCACGTACAGGAGTCGTACAGTAAGCACGCGTGAGTCCTTTTGTGAGTCGTACAGTAAGCGTTTTCCTTTTGATACACAAATAAATCATGTGTGTTTTTTTTTTATCTGTCATGTTGTTTATGTCGCTGTGTTTAGTAATTCTGAATCCGTGATCCGTGTACTGTAGTTATATGCAGTCAGGCTCTGAAAAATCTCTTTGTTGTTTCACTGTACACATAATGTACACCGAATTCTGAAAAGTTTTGTTTTGGGATGTTTTGTGTGTGTGTGTTCTTTGGTGTGCATACATTTATGGAAGTTATATGGATCATTTATATCATCAATTGGTTATTAAGTGTTATTTGGAGTCTCCAATGGATATGTTTTAGTGAGAATTGCAAGATAAATGGTGTATGCTTAATTTCATGATAAGTTTAGGATTGATTAATCGCACAAAAGGGTGCGATTAATCGATAAACCTTTTGTTACAACTTTATTTTAAGGTGACGTAGTTAACTTACACATTACTACATGTAATAATTAGTAATAACAGTAGCCTAAATAATGCATAATTATAAGTAACTAACCATAAACCTAACCCTAAGAGCAACTCTATAGTAAGTACATGTAGTTAAAGGAGCTGTATGTAAGATTGTGGCCAAAACTAGTACTACAATCACTTTCAAATTACTGTAGAGTGGTGTATCCCCTCCCCTCCTCCCTGACTCGAGGTTGCCAGATCGGCTGCAGGATCCAGCAGGAACGTGACGAGCTGCAGCTGTGGTAACTGAGCAGAGCTGGCAACCCGGATGCCGCAACACTACTGACTTCGTGATTGGTAGATAGGTGGAGGGTGGAGCATCAGACCAAAACACAACATGACAACATCAAC